AGATGAAGAACTGATTAAATTTCAGGAAAGCTGGTCTAGCGGTTTTGGAGATCTAGTAAAAAGAGTAAAAAAAATGCCATTAGGGGTCGAAAGTGACCATTAGACTTAGGCACATCGAATTATCAGATATTTTATGAAGATTTTAATAATACGTATAAATTTTGTTTAAATTTCTATGGGTTCCGTAACATCCGTCTCTATGCAGCTAAAGCAGTACGATTGCTTTGAAAAAAAGTTCAAAATTTCCAAAATATTTCAAAAAAGTCATTTTTTTTCAAAGATTTAAAATTTCTCACAAATCAAAGTTTCGAAAAAAAATTTAATCTTTTTTAAACAAATAATTTTTGGTACGGGAAGTTCCAGCAAATTTGCCTTAAGGCACGATGCCATGCACCACTAGTTTTAAATTTAAAAAAAGTAAATTTAATTTAGAACTGAAATTTCAAAGATTTAATTTTAATGTATTATTTTTAAAAATTCATAAAAGTAGAATCCGGGAGACAAGGCCAAACCGGGGCATATGCAGTCCTTAGTAAAACAGTTTTTTTAAAAAAAAAAAAACACTTTGAAATAATATACTACATGCCATTCATTTCGTTTTTAATTGCCATTGACTATGGCAACTTATTTTGTAAAATATTATATATTATATTAAATTAAACTTACAGGATAATGAGTCTACAAGTGTATCAAAAACCGATCTATCTGCCCTGGATGCTTTGCGAAATTCAGTGCAAAATCTTAGCGGAGCTGCTTTACCTTTGGGAAGGCTTTTGGACTTTCTACAGGTTTAAATATATTTTATTTTATTAATATTCCAATTTATTACATATTCTCTATTTATATAGGAAGATGCAAGATGCGCCGTGAATTGCAATGGCGTGACACTTATCAAACAGTCGAAGAATTGAAAAAGGACACTGGGACAAACGATTTCAAACAGTTTGAAAAAGGACACTTAACAAACGATTTTTTCAAATGAAAAGTTTATTTAGTTATTAATTGTAATAAATAAATTGTTTTTCTTCTTAGAATAACTGAAAAAGTAATTCAACCACTGAAACATCAGCTGGCTCAACTAGAAACTCAAATATCAGAGCAGCGAGAGTTGATTTCATTCATCTAAGGCAAATGTATTGAAACAAGAAGAAAAGATTAGAAAAATATTATATGAATGTTGAACAACAAAATATATTATCCGTTAACATTTATTAAAATTTATTACAAATTTTGATACATATTTTTAAATAGCAACTCTAATAGAAATTCGATTAATTTAATGCATATGTTGTCAAGAAATATATTGTTACTGGCCAAAGCAAATATTTATTTTGTTAAAAGTAAATAATAATCATTTAAAATAATTATATAGTTTTTTTAATTTAAATATGCCATTATTTTAACTTGTTATAAGAGCAGATTAAGTCGCCCGATTTGTTAATTTTATGTTTTCACTTCTTTTCAAGAATTCATGATCGTTTGAGACCCAAATTGGAAAAAATTTGTTTTGCTGTGTATTAGGGAGTTGAAATTTCACTTTTCCCAGGGGTTTCCAAAAAGCGCGGACCGATTTCAAAATTTTAAAAGCCATTTAATGAACCTTGATAACTCGTCGATTGGTTTTGCGAAACGACCTGGTAAGTCGTTTCTTTCGAATTTGTATATTTAGTAACATTAATTCAAGATTTTTCAAAAATATTCAAGTTAGTTTTTGGTAAAGATTTGTCGGACCATTTCTTATGAATTGGTTAACTTTTTAATTTTTTTGTGTAGCTCAGAGAAACATCTTAAAATTTTATAGGCATACAAAAAGTGATTTAATTAGAAAAATTCATCTAAGAATAACAGGTAGTGCCAAATTTTCAATAGACTGCTGGGACAGTTGCTAGATGTCAATTCTTATTGATTAAGTCGATTATTTATTTACATAAATAGAAAAGTTTTTGCAACTTGCCTGAACGCAAAATACCACTTACCCTTAGTTAAGTATTGATTTTATGTGCCGTGTATGTATATTCCTGTGAAGATCAAAGCGAATTGTGCCTTTTCTAATATTTCTTCGGATATCGCGGACTGGATTTAAAAAATTAAAATGTTGATGATAAATCTTTATTGACTCTTGTTAATTAGTTTTGCGTAATGATTTTAAATACCCGAATAAGAACCTCGTGTTCGCGAAAAAATCCGATTTGCTAATTTTATATTTTCTTGACGATTCAAATCAATGTGTGTCTGTATGACTGTGTATCTGTGGCTGTGTATGTGTGAGCCAAATTTTCGACAAACGTCGACGGTTTCTCAAAAACGGCTGAACCAATTTTAAACATTAAAAATTATATTTGTATTTGTATTAATTCTCCATAGTTAATAATAAAATTTAGAGTATGAACACCACTGTGTATAAAAAAAGCTCAAAGATTTTAGTTCCAAAGTAAATTTTGATTCCATTTTTAACTTCTCGTAGGGTAATGAGTAATGGGCCGAACATCGAAAATGAAAATTTTTACATTTCTCGACGTTTTGAAGGTTTCTGAACATTTTGGCATACCTCAGAAAAAATGGATGTGTGTGTATGCATGGATACAATTTTTCGTCCATGGTTCAAAAAACATTCGATTCCTTTGATAGGGAGATGTACTGATTAGTTTTTGGCGAAGGCAAGTCAAGCCGTTACGAAGATACGACGCAATGAGTGCAGAAAATACAAATCAAGTTTTTGAGAGAACGGAGTATCCGATTTGAATGATCTTAAAAACGTTCAGGTTGTAATGATTGGGAAAAGAGGTGATTAGTTTTTTAGCAAAAGCAGGTCCAGCCATTTCGAAGATACAGAGTAAATTGTGCAAAAATAGCAGTTTTGAGAGAACTAAGCATCCGATTTGAATTATTCAAAGAACTTTCTGCTTGTTTGAATAAAATAATTGGTCCTATTTTTTTTTTTATTTTTTTCTTAAGATTTTTTTTTGTATATCGGCGAAAATAATTCAGATTTTAATTTTAATTCTGTTCTAATATAGTTTAAATAAATAATTTCAACTTTGCAATTCAGTTTATATAATTCTTATAAATATTCCACAATGTTACAATATTTATAAAAAAATATTTGAAAACATTTAATATTCCTCGATCATTTCGTTACGGTACGGGAAGTTCTAGCAATTTGCTTTAAGGCACGATGCCATGCACCACTAGTTCATATTGTCTTCATTTCCATGGCTTCAAAGTTCAAAGTTCATCAGAAGCGAAACTTTTATAGTACTATAATAGTAATCGCAAAAAAATCGAAAATCAAAATTTTTATATATCTTTACGTTTCAAAGGTTTCTGAATATTTTGGCATACCTTAGAAAAAATGGATGTATGTGTGTGTGTATGTGTGTGCGTGTGTATGTGTGTTCGGATACAAATTTTTGTCGACGATTTCGGGAACATTCGATTCGTATTGATAAGCAGACGTGCTGATTAGTTAGGCGAAGGCAGGTCTAGCCGTTCCGAAGATATGGGCCAAAAAGTGCCAAAAATGGTAACTCAGTTTTTAAAAGAACGGAGGGTTCGATTTGAATAATTCAAAAAACATTTTACTTGTATTAACAAGATGAAGAACTGATCAAATTTTCATGAAGGCAGGTCTAGCGGTTTCGGAGATCTGGTAAAAAAAGTAAAAAAAATGCCATTTGGCGGTCAAAAATGATCATTAGACATATGCACATCAAATTATCAGATATTTTATAGAGATTTTAGCAATAAGTATAAATTTTGTTTCCATTCCTAGGGGTTCTGTACCAATTTTTATCCGTTAGACGGCGGCGTGGCGCTTACGCGCATCGATATTTCGTCTCAATGCAGTTAAAGCAGTACGATTGCTTTGAAAAAAAGTTCAGAATTTCCAAAATATTTCAAAAAACGCTTTTTTTCAAAAAGTCTTTTTTCGAAAAAAAGGAAATTTTTGTCAAAAATTTATAGTTTCTCAAAATCTAATTTTTCAGAGTAATTTTATTTAAAAAATGTTAATCTTTTAAAAAAATAATAATTTTTGGTACGGGAAGTTCCAGCAATTTGCCTTAAGGCACGATGCCATGCGCCCCACTAGTTAACTGTTTCCGTTTCAAAGTTAGATAGATTATTATAATCTATTAAGTGTTCTTGATATTATATTTAAAAAAATAAATAATATATTATAGTTATAATTATAAATTAAATTATAAAATTTAAATTTTATAACCGAATCTCGTTTTGGCGCCCTCTAAGGCTTGCGCCCGCATTTTTTGCATGCATTGCATGCAAGAACCCAGTAGTCCGGCCATATCATAGATAAATAAGCATAAGGCCATATACTCTCTTTTATCTATGGTCCGGCCCTGTTTATAACAATTACATACACAATTAAGTTGAAAAATTTAACAAAAATACTTCATACGGGAAGTTATAACTTAACGTACATCATATTCTAATATTGTCTAGGTTAACATTAATATAATTACGTTACATGGATATTCAATATTTTTGGCATGACGCATATTTTATCCCAAAAACAACAACTTTAAAAATTTCTAATCAACACATAATTCTAATACAGATATCCGAAAAACAAATTCGAAATGTAAATATTATCATTTGAAATGTTTTTTGAGCGCATGTGATTTGAGTGTTATGAATCTTTATATCAGAAGAAATTCCTCTTTGCTCTAGTTGTCATCGGTGGTCAATATTTGCAACACGTACATTAAACAAAACACCAATGAAACAATAATTCAGAGTATTAGAAAGTGACGACTGAATTCTATCATAGCATATCGGCTCGTTCTGCTTCTTTCCAGTTTATTTCAAATTTACTAAATCACATGACAACCGACAGATAATTGAGTTCTTACCTGCTGTCAGATATCTGAGGAGATAGTGAAAAGTAAATAGTAAAATTATTGGTTCCGTATTATCGCTGAAACGCGATAATATCTCACACTAAGTTCTATAAAACTTTCAAAATTAGTAAATACGAGAAAATGGAAGACGCTCCTTTATATAATGAGAAACAATCAATACGAGAGAAGGCGAAATCATTGAAAAAGTATGGCAGTACGTGTAATCATTTTAAACGACCTGAATTGCTGTTAAAGTATTTATCACCAAAACTGATACGTTACAAGGGATTGCTTTGAAATATGGAGTCACTGTAAGTATTTTACAAATGAGGTTATAGTAACATATCACTGATAAACGTTTCTAAAGTTGATTGCCTTAATACTGATCATTCATATAAACTACTAATTTATATTAATAAGATTAGTGATTCGCCAGACACATGTATCATTTCATTACTGATTTATATTCATTGTTCGTAAGTCACACTTTCAGGGAATATTTTTTGCTCGATTGTACTCCAGTCCATTTTTAAAAGACTGATATCAATACATTAATTATATGCATTGTAAAATGTACATATATTTCAGTTGATATAAATAGTGGTTTAGCAGTTTTTTTTACTGAAAATAGTCGTGGAAGTTTATAATTACTATATTAAATGTTTTAATTAAAGTATGTTTAAGAATTTGTTACTACAGCATCTACTGTAAAAACTAAACAATATACTACTAATTTTTAATATTAGTAAGATTAGTGATTCACCAGACACATGTCTCATTTCATTACTGATTTATATTTAATCATTGTTTGTAAGTCAAACTTTCAGGGAATATTTTTTGCTCGATTGACTGCAGCCCATTTTTAAAAAACAGATATTACTACATTACTTACGTGCAATGTAAAAGTTATATGTACATATATTTCAATTGATAAAGATAGTGGTTTAGCAGTTTTTTTTTTACTGAAAATGGTCTTGGAAGTTTATAATTACTATATTAAATGTTTTAATTAAAGTATGTTTAAGAATACTTATTACTACAATATCTACTGTGAAAACTAAACAATATACTACTAATTTTTAATGTTAATAAGATTCACCAGACACATGTATCATTTCATTACTGAATTATATTTAATCATTGTTTGTAAGTCAAACTATCATGCAATATTTTTTGCTCGATTATACTGCAGTATAAAAGATAGATATTACTACATTAATTACAACATTTGGTAAAATGATTCGTGCAATGTAAAAGTTATACATATGCATTGAAATATGCATATGTTGATAAAGATAGCAATTTAGCAGTTTTTTTCGTCGTGGAAGTTTATAATTACTATATTAAATGTTTTATTTAAACTATGTTTAAGAATACTTGTTACTACAACATCTAATATTAAAACTATTCAACATACATCACATCTCATAGCACATACCAAACAACCAACTATTGAAATATGTCCAGAAAGTTTACCATTTTCTTGTAAATTCCATTCCATCTGTCCCCGATTACACCCAATGTCTAATTTTTAAGTAGAAGAATCAGCATATTTTAATTATTCTTTAATTTTCCATTTGGTTTCTGTTTATATTTATAAAAATTACATTATAATTTACTTCTGATTCACTGTTATGCCGATTAGTTATTGACTTTTCAGTAAAATATGTAATTTCAACATAGATATTAATATTAAAAACTATTTTCAATTCATCATTTAAGATATATTAGGTTGGAAACTAAGGTTTTGGTAGAAGAGACATTTTTTTCCTGGATCCAAATAATTTTATTCTGTAATGTATTGTTCATTTTGATCAATGATTTTTCGTCATCTTTAAAGCAGCATCATTATCCCACTTTTAAAAAACTTTTGGCTTTTATCAGCAAAAAATTGAATCAGGTACAATTTGATACCATCATAATTATTAAATTTTTTACTATTCGAGGGGCTTTATAAAAATCTAAACAAAAAGTAATCAGAAGGTCAGGATTATATAGTGAATGTGGTGAAACATCCCAACGAAACTCCAATAACTTTTGCCAAGTAGCCAAAGACATGCCAAAGATCAATTATCCAATTCAGGCCATTTTTTTCAACTGCATTGTTTAATTTTGTTAGTTGATCAATGTAGACATCAGAATTGATCATTTCATTGGTGATAATAGTTCAAAGTAGATAATTCCTTTTTAATCAACTTCTCCTGGTCAACCAGAGCATCTTCACCTTTGAGTGAAAAATCTTGAAACTTGGCAAACTTGTAATATTGGCACTTTATTTTTTTTAAGTCTTTGTCAACATAAACATCTCATAATTTTTTGTGAGCTTAGGATAACTTGGTGCCTTTGCAAATCTAAATTTGCAATAGAAAAGCAAAATATGACAACAAAAATAGATTTGATTTTCCAACTTCAATGAACACCAAACGAAAACTACACACAAAAATGTCTTTATTAATGATGGACATCTAAGATGCCTGCTATGCATTACCAAGAGATATTTTACATTTGGAATATGTCTGCAAACCAAAAAATTCAATTGATAGCACTTAAGCTGAAAACCACACTTACTTAGTTTCCAACCCAATACTTATTTTACACATTGATCATCAATTATTATTAACAATGAGATAAATTGCAATTGCAGTTCTGAATTGCCATTATAAAAACATTTTATATTTTACAGCTTCTGATATATATCCTTTATATTGCAGACAGAACAAATTAGGAGAGCAAACAGACTCTTTGCATCAGATAGCTTATTTCTGCGAGAATATCTTTTAATTCCAATTACAAAAGAATCGCCCTACTACGACCCGAATGATGAGAATATAATTGAAAACCGAATTACACACAGAGCATCAGTAGCCACAATGCAAAGCATACCAGATAGTAATGTTGTAACACCAACAACACCAGAAGATCAGACTTGTATAGATAATTTCTTAGATAAAGTTGATACTGCTATAGCAATGACAAAGAAATATGTTAAACAACATCAGGATTCTATAGAGTGAGTGATAAATGATTAATTATAATATTTATGTCAAGTTGTATAAAAAGAAACTAATTAGTTCCAAATATTTTGTGTAAAAACATGTTTTTGTGTTTTTTTAGTGTGACTGATTTTCCATCAAATGGAGGTGCTAGTTTTCTAAGGAATAGTCATTCTAATTACGGATTAAGACATCAGGGTACTTCCTCATCATCAGGGAGCACCCATGAATTAGCCTCAGGTTTACCACACACCCAAATTGTAATGACGCAAGGTAGGAAAGTTAGAACATCTCTTCAAAGACTTCAGCAACAACAAGATGAAATGTTTGAGTTGTAGCAGTTAATGTGATATTAAAAATTATGGTAGTGGTTTTTGAGATAGTTTAAACCAAATACATGAAATATTAAATATTGATTCTGTATAAAGTAATATACATATGATTATTGGTATGTTAAACATTTAAATATATTTATATACACAAAAACTCTTAAAAAGATACGTAGTTTTTGCACTTCTAGTTTTGTAGTTATATATTTTGATTTTGAAATTTAAATATTTTATGAATATTTAAATTATATATGTATTAATATATATTTATAAATGACGGCAAATTATATATCAACAAGAATCTGAGGATTTTGAAATGCTTTTATTAAATTTAAAATATCTGAAAATGCATGTAATTACAACTTTCATTCTTTTCAAATTGTGTTCTTACTTTGGAAAAGAAGCGAACTTCACTTCATACTCAATTTTGAAATAAAATATAATTCACACTGATCAACATTCACAAATTGATCCAATTTCACATAGTGCTTATAAAACATATTTTCATTTTGCTTTTACTTATATATTTGAAAAGAATAAAAAAAGCAATGATAGAAAATATCTAAGTTTGATTAAAATGATGCCAAGTATTATTTCACTGAATACTTGAACTTCTAGTTTTAAATCAAACATAAATCCACATATAAATAAAATGTGATACAGGCTTGTAAAATAAATGCTTAATATTATATAATTCTTACTCACCAATTGCGCTGTTAGATATATTTCAGACATCATTGTAAAATATTATATCATGAACTAGTTTTTCATCAAAACAATAAATAAATTTTTGTATAAAACTATACTCACTTTTTTTATTTTTATATATAATAATATAATCAAAACTCTCAAACACACTAAAATCAATGTCAACATAAATACAATTACAACACTATTTCAAACTAAATAAATGGCATACCTAACAATTTGATAGATGGTTTATACTGTTATGATTGTAAGTTTAATTTTTTCACATTGGTAACAGAATACAAATTATATTAACAAATCTCTTATTCTCAAACAGTTTTTTTTTACTGAAGTATACCATATATACGCCACTTCAATTATTTTTTAATAGTTAATACTTTAAAATAATTTAATATATGTGAGACCCCTATACAAAAATGTGCCCAAAGTTTATTGGAAGAATATTAATGAAGCAAAAAAAAAAACGATTTTATTTCTTGCTTTATATAACAATCTTGATGGTGTTTTACAGCAAGAACTTTAAAAAATACTGACTAGTTTTATAATTTTGTATGTCCCAAACTGTTTTGAAACCATACCTTGAATCAAATTTGTTCTTTAAATTTGACCATGACTTCAGATGAAATATATAATGTTTACAAGACTACAAGTTTTGTGTAAACTATTAATAAATTAGAAATTATAAATTATAAACTGGCAATTTCAACAATAATTATTACTCCAAAATCTTTACATTTTGATGAATATATATACACTGCAGTGCTCCAGATAAAGTTAATACTGCTGTGATAATAGTCTAGAGACAATTTTACTCAATTTTTGTTAAGATTCTAAACTGTTTTAAATTGACTTAGAATTGTTTAGTAGTTTATTATTTTGATGTGCGTGTATTTATAATATATTTTTAACCAAACACATTATAAAACATTAGCCAAGAAGTGACCATTTTAATTTGTTTTAAAATTTTTGAAATCATGAATATTGATGGAACTTTAATTTGATAGAAAAACTAAAAGTTAGTTTTACTACATATTCTGCTACTTAAATTCTGTTCAAAATATTTATTTCAGCCTTTTATTTCAGCTTTCATAGTCTCAACTCTTGGATTTTGTAAAGTTCCAATTCTACTTCTATTGTTTTTGTTAAAAATTGCAAAAAAGGATGTTTATATTAATATTCAAGGTATAAGAGTAAAAATTTAAATACAATAAAACTTTTATTAACAATAATATGAACATTAGTCTTCTGAGTAGATGTGAATAATAACATTTTCTTACACTCAAATCATACCAAAATTTTATAAAATAAAAACTTCATAAAGTATCATATTTCAAATTCAAAGATTCCTAGTAATATGATAACATAACATTTATGATAATATATACTATGATATAACTTAAAACTTAATAGAGAAAAATTAGTCATTTTTTTTACTTTGGCGACTATCGTTTTAGTTTAGTAACTAATATCACAGTTATAATAATACCAATAAGTAAAGCTATAGCTATGAGAATGAGTAATTTCTTACGATTTTTGTTTTGTAGCTGTGCTGCTTTACGTAACTCTGAGTTTCCAGCTTCTACATCAATTGCTGCATTTTCTATAGATCCCTCAATGGTATCAAAATAAATTACAAACATTAAAAATTGTTCATATTACTCATACCATAACTTAAAAAAATTTTTAATTGCATATATGTAAATAATTAATCATCTGAATAAATTTGTAATATCAAAATGATTATATTAATCTAGAGTAAACAGAAATAATATAATGAAGAGTGAGACATAATTAAAAATGTCAAAGGTCATACAGATAAATACAAAAGAAAACAATGTCATAGTAAGCATAATTATAACACATTCATTTAAACAATATAAATAATTTAAAAATTTGTGTGCTATAGTTTTGAAAACACAAATTTTACATAAATAGATTAATTGAATAAATAATTGTTTTTAAGCCTATACAACCTATAGCTTCCCCTTGAGTGTGAACAAGAGCGCTTAATTCTCTCATGATCTGATTTACATCCAGAACATCTGCTTCAATTTGTTTAACTCTGGCTTCCCGTTCAAGCAACATGTCTCTTTCAAATTCCTGTTCATTTTGAATTTGTCTTTGAGCTTGTAATAATCTAGCTTGGTCATCAATATCATTTTGAATAGTTTCTTCAGCACTTGAAACAGACTGGTTTGGAAATTTCAAATGCTGTTTCATTTTCTCTGCAATTTTCTAAAAAAAACCAAATATTCATAATTTTTGTCTCCAAAAAAATAAAAGATCATTTTTAATATCTTTTATTTTGATTGAAATGTTTTTTTAGTAGAAATTTCAAACAAAGAAAACAAAAACTGCAGCAAACCATTAGAAACCAGTAGTCAAAATGCAGTAACAAAAATGATGTAAAAAACAATTGTGCTAAATATAAATCTTCTAAAATTAGTGTTTTATCAACAATAAAATACAATATCTATATAATTCAAACAAATAGTTCAAAAAGATAGGAATTTTAAATTAAATTACAAACAAATTTACTTGAAACTTATCATTTCATGTGATGCTGTTTCTACTTCAGCATATTTATATAAAGTAATATATTTCATTTAATTAATATAAAAAAATGATTTTATGCAATTTAAAGAACACAAAATCTTGTACAAAGAACACAACTGTAATCTAGATATTTCTAGATATTTAGAAATGTAAAAGAAGTAATAATTTGTTATGTCAATTATAAATAAATCTCAATAAAGAGAAATTTTATTACCTTCTGCATCAGAGAGTACCTTTCCACAGCCTCTCTTAAGTCTGATGTAAGTCTTTCTGCTTGTAACTTTTGTTGTTTGTTTCCTCGTCTCACAACTTGAGTTAGCCTTTGAAGATCTCTACTTGTAGCTGATATTAGCTGGTTTGCACTTAATTGTGTCGTATGACTGGAAATAATATATTGCATTAGCTACCATTTTGGTATTGGCAATAATAAATAATCAGAACCATATTTATAAACTAATATGACATATTAGACTAAAGTTATAGCACAAGCATAATTGTTTTTCAGTCTTTTACTATTTTATCATAGATGATGTAATGGTCTAACTTTCAATAGAACTATTGAAAGTTATACCATTACATATGAAAATTAAACTATTCAATTATAAAAATAATACAATAATTATGTTGAAGCAGTTACATTTTAACTATTGATACTAATGCTGTGTACTTTAATATCTTAATCAACTAAGTTAACTTCATATTGCTAGAAAATATCTAATTAAATATATATAACTCACATCTTCTCTCTTAACTTTGGTTGTCTTTTCGAGTGCCAATATTATTCAAAGCCTTCTCTAATGTCCGCCAGCTGGAGTTAACAGTATAAATATTTGTAATTATATTTTCACTTAAATTATAAAGCTCTGTAGGGCTAAAACCCGCAAAGCCGACATCCGTGTTGGAAGGCATTGCTTCAATAGATGAAGATACTTCTGAGTTATTGACAGAGCCGTAAGAACGGAGAGTTCCTGGATTGTTTCCTCTTAACATGCTAAATTTAATCTGAAAAAATAGTTGTAACATAAAGTATAAAAAAAGTAAAATGAAGCAGTGCTTATTGATCTTATTTTTTACTGTGTATCTCTAATGAAAGTTCACAGTTTATTAAAGTATTAATCATAAATTCTACCAACAATTTTAAGCTTGTGCAAATATTGCATGCAAATTGGTCAAATTCTCTGATCAATAAGAGTTTTTTACTGATTGAATTTGAGTTGTTAATTGATAAATATCAAAGTGTGAAGAAATCATAATCAAAAAATATGATTTGTTACTACTCAAATCACTTCATAACTTTGATAATAAATGATATTTTATTGCGGATGTATTAATGTTACAATAAATAACTATTAATATAAATTGTACATACCTAAGATATTACTATAATAATACTGTTGTAGAATAATAATTACAAAGGCCAATAACCGTAATTATATGACGTGTATTTTAATTTTAATAAAAAAAAATCGTGCACTTAGATTTACAACGTCATGTTTGGATGCTTATACTTGACTAATTATATATCTGATTAAAGAGAATTAATCAGCGTTGATTAACCGAATATTAATCTCGCAGAAATAAGTTCAGAAATAAAATCATATAACGAATTAAA